TCCTCCTCCTCCTCCTCGTCGGTCTTCTCCTTTTACTCCTCCAACTCCTCCTCCTCCTGTTCTTCCTCCTTTTCCCCCTCCTCCTGCTCCTGTTCCTCCTCTTCCTCGTCCTCCTCCCCCTCCTCCTCCTCACCTTTTCTTCTGCTGCTGCTGCTGCTGATGCTGCTCCTCCTCCTCCTCCTCCTACTCCGTCTCCTCCTCCTTCTCCCCTCCTCTTCCTCCTCCTCCTCCTCCTCCTCCTTCTCCTCCTCTCCCTTCTTCCCCGGTCGTCGTCTTCGTCGTCGTCTTCCTCATGCGGAGGAGTGGTGAGGATACTCAGGAATATGCTTGTGAACGTTCGGGGGGCGCGTGCCCATACGTATCCTTTCTGAGCGTTCGGAGAGCTCGCCTGTACTACATTTGATCGCGATGATGCTGCAAGTTCTTGCGCAACTCTTTCCTTTCACGCGCTTCCCGTTCATGTCAGGAAAGGTTTCTTGGCATCTTTTTATATCAGTGCTGTCGGTGGGCGCTCCCCCTCTCTCTGTCGTTTTTGTTGTTGCCTTTCTCTCTCTCTCTCTCTTTCTCTCGGTATCTCCCTATATCAGTATCATTATGTTATGTTTCCCAACGCACAGTACCTTACATAATATTGATGTCTGATGTTCCATCTCCGTGTTATGGCATCTTTCCCTATCTCTTTTTCATTCCCCTCTCTCTCTCTCTCTTTTTCCCTTTTTTTCTATCACTCATTGGGGTTCTTCTCCTGTGTAGCTGTATCTGCAGTCTTGTGACCAGACCCCAATCCACAATGGCATGACACAGCTCTCCGACCTTCGGAATACCGCGCAGGTGTCGTGGAGCTGCGCTGGGGACCCCACCCCGGCGACCTCTGGCGCCGCCCCTGGCGCGCTCCGCGTGCCCGGGGCTGGGAGGGCCCCGGGCCGATCCCCACGAGTCCGCGCGGACATTCGAGAGCTTACGTTTACGCTTGTCGGAGGGACCCGATGTGTGCACGACGCTGCTTGGCTGGCCACGGAGCCCACGAGCTCATCTTACCAGCCTGGAACATGTCCCTATCCTTATGCTGGGCACCTCCTCATCACGATGCCAATCTTAGGGTTCCCTTATCTTTTGAGGGCGGATCCCTAAGATTGTCATCGCCTTTTGGTGTGTCAATCTTAGGGATAGGGATAGGTTCGAGGCTGGTAATCATCGAAGGAATTCGGTGCAGCAGGCGCTCCAACGTCCCACAGACTGGGAAGCCGGGGCGTCTGTGCACCGAGCTTTCTGGCCGACCAGACGACGTGGTGTATACATCGAACCCCTCCCAGTTCACGGTGAAGCAGTTGGGCTTAGCGTGTCGCGCCGCCAACGCTTCGGCGCGACACGCTATCCGCGACCCCACTCCCTGCGTCAGCGTCCCGAGCTGCTCCCAGCCTTCCGCCCCGCGGAGTGGAGCGACACGCTACAGCCGCTTGTAGGGCATTGCGTGTCGCCAGGGCCGCCGCCGCGGCACGCTGAGCAAGAGCCCCGTACAGAAAGAGGAGCCGTCTCTTCCTCTACCATTGATCTTGGCCAGGCCCCCGACGTCCTGATTTTTTTCATGACGTCGACCCCCGAGGTTTCGACCCATTCTCCGGGACCGGTCTTCTCTCCTGCGTCGCCTTTGGCGGCCCCGAGACCCGGGCAGGGCCCCCCGCCGGCCGAACACGGCGAAAGAACTGCCGTCGCGCTTTTGTTCCACGGCGCGGGGAGGGCTCGGTCCTCGGGGGCGGCGGCGGCGGCGACGACGGCCTCCGGCCGGCCGGGCCGGCGGCCGCCGTCGCCGTCGACCGCCGTAGTCCCCGCCAGTCGTTGCCATCGACGTTCGTCGTCGTCGGCCGTCTTCCTCGGCCGCGGCGCAGGCGCGGTGCAGGCGCGGGCGGCGCTGCCGCCGCCGGACTCGCCGTCGCAGGGCGTCGCCGCGGGGCGCGCCGCCGCGCCCGCCCGCCGCAGGGCCGTCTCTTCGGTCGGCGGCGCAGCAGGGAGGTCGCGGGCGACCACTGTCCCTCGACAGGAGGAAAGTTCAAAAGAATGGCCAAGAAAAGCGTCCGGGGGCGATTCTGCTACTGTTTCTGGCTACTTCGGGGTATTCTTGGGGCGATGCGCCGCTGGGGTCGAGCCTCCGCTGCCCCCGCGCACGAGCAAGCCCCTCTCGTGCCAGGCCGCGGCGCCCGCGCGCCGTTGGGGCCCCGCGGCGGCGGTGCGGGGCGGGGAAGGGCGGGCGAGGAGAGAGAAGGGGCAGGAGTGAAGGGGGGGAGAGGGGAGGAGTGATGGGGAGGAGGGGGAAGGGTGGGGGGAGAGGAGGTTGGCGCGGAGGAGCCGCAGAGGAGGGAGAGGAGAGGAGGCTTCCAGGGGTTCTGCCATCGCGTAGCGACGGATGCAAAGGCGCCTCGCCTGACCTCCATGTGCTGCGAAATGGAGGCCGACACGGCGTAGGGCGGAGAAGCCAGAGTTGGACGAAACACACGGACACCAGCTTGAGTACCTCCACGGATGACCATATTCACACATTCCGTTGGGGGCGCCATGCCGCACAGGGAGACACATCTGAACGAATTGAGCGCGCAGTTGTGCTGAACGCCGAGCGGGATGATAAGGCCCTGCAACCACAGGCGCCCCACATCAACGCTTTACACGCAAGGCTGTATCTCCAGCGTGCCAAATCCGAGCAACATTCAACGCCCTGAACTGCACATGCACCCATTTGAAAAAACGGACCGGCACCGACCTAACAGCCGAGAGCATGCCGACGGGCCGCTTCTGCACTGCCCATCAGTGGTATGCCCAGTCGACAGGCGGGTGAGTAATTGCCACAAGGGCGCCGAGAAACCGCCCCAACCCGCCGCCTGGGACGGAGGCCGATGAAGAAGCTCAGGAAGAGCACATCCTAAGATACAGCGCAAGAAAGGCAACGCCGAAAATTCCCAGGACCAAAATGAATGCGACACCCTCGTGCAACAGCGAATAACGTAAGCTGTAATCTACGAAGGCGCACATGCGAACCACCACGACCAGAAGAGGCCCGAGCCGTGCGCCGCTGCCGAGCTGCCGCCCTGGGCCCCCCAAAAGCGCCGCGAGAAGCGAGGGGCACGATGCAAGACATCGCCAGGAAGCCGAAAGCCGGCTACGCAGACGCCTCGAACCGATGCTTGAAAGGGAGGAGAGGAGGAGGAGGAGGAGGAGGAGGAGGAGGAGGAGGAGGAGGAGGAGGAGGAGGGGAGGGAGGAGGAGGAGGAGGAGTTGGAGGAGGAGGAGAGGGGAGGAGGAGGTGGAGGAGGAGGGGGAGGAGGAGGAGGGAAGGAGGAGGAGGAGGTGGAGTAGGAGGAGGAGGAGGAGTAAGGAGGAGAGGGAGGAGAGGGAGGAGGAGGAGGAGGTGGAGGAGGAGGCTGAGGGGGAGGAGGGAGGAGGAGGAGGGAGGAGAGGAGAGGTGGAGGAGGAGGCGGAGGAGGAGGAGGAGGAGGTGGAGGAGGAGGAGGAGGAGAAGAAGGGGTGGAGAGTGGGAGGGGATGATCATCCCATGGCTCCGTACAGGTCGGCGACCGCTGCAGCATACACTTCCGTCCTGAGTCCTCTGTTCGCCAGTCCCTACCAGTGTAAATCTTTCACTGCGCGAATCGACCCCCTGAAAGGCGAACGCCCCATGGGCCCACGGGGAGGGGGGTGGGGGGTCCGTCCTCATGGCCCCCCCCTTGCCCTCACCTCCCAGGACCGCCCACAAAAGACCTCGGCGGGGAAGGGGCCAACGGCAAAGGGCTTCCCTATCGCCTCGATAACGAGTTGGGTGAATTCAGCTCGAGCCAGCGAGCGTAGAGAGCCCCAACTGGCTGCCGCAGCGAGGGGGGAACAAAGCTTCGAACGCAGCAGCCTCTCCCGGGACCGCCCCGAACGACCGCCTCTGGATTCCCCCCTCACACGCGTGCCGACAGAGTCGGCGGATCTGTGAGTCCTGCGAAGTGGGGTATAGTTATAATTGGTGTGCTGTCTCCAAACGGCCTATCAGGGTGGGCTCGCGAGAAAGTCGAGCACTCCTGCATATCCAACAGCTGGCGCGAACGGCTACGTTGTTTCGCCCTTGTCCCCTGCTCTATCTTGCTCTCCGACGCGACGACCACGACTACGAGTGCGAACACGACTACGGCTACAACCACGATTACGTTTATCTAGGTGTTACGTATCCTTAGTTCCAACTGTGTCGTAATATGTTACAACACACGGACAACATTACGGTTACCGCGGTTGTTGCGACTGCGATTACGAGCAGGGGGGGTAACCAAGTTAGGTCTCTTAGACGTTAGACCCCCCAAGTAGTGGAAATGATTTGAATGTTCGGCGACATGTTTGACGGATTAGGGTCCCATCAGTGGTCGGAAATCGGTTTTTTTTCCCGCGGCACCCGCCGCACAACAACGATGATGACGACGAGATGAAGGAGGAGATTGCGAGCAACACCTTCGGCGCAGACCGTGTCTGTACTGCAATCCTCTCACACGCGTGCTCAAAATTCCTCTGTCGTGCAGCGGGGGGCACACCGAAAGACCGCCCGAGGTCAGGGGGAGGGGCGAAGGCTTCCTAGAGACACCCCGGCGCCTCCTGAGAAGCAGCCTCCTGGAAAGCTCCCCCCAGTGCCCCTGTGGCTTGGCATCGCTCGGACGTGTGCATTTTCCCTCCGGCGTGGACCATCGAGGAGCATCCTTGACCATTTGGCGAAAAAGCCACGCACGAGACCGACAACAAAAACACAGGGAAGGGACGTCCGAGCGATGGCGAGAGTGCGCGCCGCCAAATGAGTGGCGAGCTCGCCAGTCCTCCCGCCCCCCCCCTCCCCCGTGCGTCGGTCGGGAGCGGAAAAGAGGGGGGTGATGACTAGGGGGGGGGGTGGATATCATGGCGCGGGCCATGATTTTTCCTCAGACTTCGTGGCGCCTCTTCTTCTTTCATTACGCCCCAGGCCCCCCCGCTGGGCCGCGCACGTGCCGCCGGTCATGATTTGCACCCCCCCCTCTTGCACACCCCCCTCTTTGCCGCTCCCGAGAAAGGTCCAGGGAGGCATCCCCTGGCCCCGGAACCTTCAAACAAACGGCTCAGGAAGCTGGTCTAGGGGGCCCCCCCTTGGCAAAGGAGCCGTTTGGAACCAGGACTCGTTCTCTTCCTCCCTTGATGCCAGAGGTCGGGGAATGCGGGGCCAGAATACCCAGGATTGGGCTGGCCAGTCATTTTCGGTGGAGGCGCATAGTTGGCCTCTTGGCCGCTCCCGAGTCGGCCCTCGCCGGAGCGGGGCCTAGGCCGCGCTATCGGGGCCGCGCGGTGCGAGCAGCCGCGCGCGGCGCACCCCCCCCGCGTGGGCTTCCCCCCTCCCCCCCGGCAGGCCGCGTGGCGCGCCGAGCGCCGACCGGCTCGTGCAGGAGGCCCGTGGGCGCCGCGCCGCGCCTCCCCCCCGCGGAGGGGCCGATGTCTCGCCACCGCCACCAGGGGTGGGAGAGGAGGAGGAGGAGGAGGAGGAGGAGGAGGAGGAGGAGGAGGAGGAGGAGGAGGATGAGGAGGAGAGGAGAGGAGGAGGAAGGAGGGGGAGGAGGAGGAGGAGGAGGAAGGAGGAGGAGGAGGAGGAGGAAGGAGGGAATGGAGGGTGCGGAGGAGAGAGGGAGGGAGGAGGAGGAGGAGAAGGGGGAGGGAGAGGGAGAGGAGGAAGGGGGAAGGAGGGGAGGACTCCCTCCTCCTCCTCTCCTCCTCCTCCTCCTCCTCCTCTCCCTCCGCCTCCTCCCTCCTCCTCCGGGCTCCTCCTCCTCCCCATCCTCCATCCATCCTCCTCCTCCTCCTCCATCCTCCTCCTCCTCCTCCTCCTCCTCCTCCTCCTCCTCCTCCTCCTCCTCCTCCTCCTCCTCCTCCGTCTCCTACCTGTGGTAGCGGTGGTGGAAAGTCGGCCTACACCCCCCCACATTTCTTTCGAGGCCTCCGAGATCCCAGACCCCCTCGGATCGTGAACAAAGTCCTGGCGGGGGGGTGGGGGGAGGGCTGCTAATTTTAGGTTCTGGTGGCTTTTGCCGGGCCTCGGGACCGCCAGAAAACGACCCAGAATGAACAAAGCCGGTCGTGTGAATGTGTGGAGATATTTTGGGATCGAGGTCATGAACGAATGATAATACCAGGCGTTTGGGAAAGAGGTCGGAGTGGGTCGGAGGGTCGCACCGCATTGCTGATGCATCGCCGATGCATCGTCGATACATTGGCGATGCATAGTCGGTGCATCTGCGATGCGGCAAGACCTTTCGAATGTATCTACTCGGGCTCAATATGGGAGGCCTCTGCTGTGGTTAGTAGCGAGAGGTGGCGCTAACGCGTCCGAACAGCCGACGGACCGCGCTGGGCCATGGGCACGCCAAGGCGGCTGGAGCAGAAGGGGGCGGCCGCGGAGGAGGAGGAAGAGTGCGGCGGGGCTCAGACGCAGAGAGTCTGCGCCACGAGGGGCGCGTAGACAGCGTCAGGCACTGGGAGCAGGTGTACTCGCAAGTTGCAATGTTTGAATTTGCTTTTGCGAACGTAGCAGCGCTTTGCAGTACCGTTTTGTTCTGCCGCAGCGCGTGATTTTAGGGAAGACTGAGCAGCCGCATTCCGTTGTTACTTTGAGAGAGCTCGAGGTAAGTTCTCTATGATTGCCGCAGCTGGAAGTATAGATGGTATTTCCCACGGGACAACTGTAAGGCTGGTTTTTCCCCATTTGCCGAAAGGGGGGGCGGCGCTGGGGGCCATCGGAGGGGCACGGCCGTCATCACAGCAGGGCCCCGGGCCCCAGACCTGCTCGCACCGCGAAGGAAGCGGGACGGGGACTCTTCGCTGTTTCCTGCGGGCGGGGGGGGCCTCGCCTCGCCGAGCCCGGGACGGTCAAGAGCGGACCCGGGGTCGCGAAACGGCCCGGGGGAAGGGCGCGGGAATCCCGAGGGGAAAATGCCAGGCCCTCGCCTGCCTGGGCCTGCTGCTTCCGCTTGCTCGCCCCCTCCTTCCCGTGGCGCCTGCCCTGCGCTGCCACCGGGTGCAGCTTCCGGCTCCTCCGTTTGCGAGCGTGCTGGCCAGCGTGCTGCTTCGCGCTCCACGTGAACCTCCCATGTGAGTTGAAACTTACAGTCGGGGCCCTGAAGAAGGAACCCTTTGCGTTGGGGAGGGGCTCCGTGATCCTTGATTGCTTTACAGTTTGCCTTGGGTTTCTTTTTTGTTTTCGACCTGTGGATAGAAGGGGCCTCGTTCCTTATTTAGGGTTCCTTGGGTCAACGCTCCGACTGTACAGCGAGTGAGCCTTCGACCGCTGTGTTTTCCATCAGAGGCCAGACTTAGTCAGCACTGTCCTCAGCAATGCCCCGCGTGCGCGCGAGTACTGGCTCTCCGGGCGCTTCGGCCCCGCCCGGGAGGCACCCGCGCGGCGCACGCTGCCGGCCGTGTCCGCGTCGGCGCGTGCGCGTCCGCGCCGCCTCTCACGCAGTGGCGGAGCGCCGCGGCTCACCTCCTTATAGGCCTGCCAGGGAAGGTTCGAAGGTCCTGCTGTGGTCTGCAGGAGCTGTTCTCGGAGCATGTCGGGCTGAGTCTGCCTCGTTTTCGCGCCTCGGGCGTACGGTCTGGGAAGATTGTTTTTGTTTTCCTGGAACATTATGTGGGGTTCCGAGAGCATGTCGTGGTGGGCCTCTAGGAATGCCAGGACGCTCGGTCACTGCTCGATCCTCCTCCCCTGAGACCTGGGCGTCGCAGTTCTTGTTTCGCACTTGGCGTCTCGCCCTGCATTTGGACAGGGGGGGCCCTCGCATGTTGTTCGGCTATGCAAAAAGAGTGCCCTTCGCCCGAGTGACCTCTGTGGCGGGACCACAGGGGCCCCAGGGGAGCCTCCCGGTACCGGCCGGCGCGCTTGGATCTGCCCCCTCCCCCCCTGGGCCCCCCCCCCCTTCTGCGGCCCCATAGCCTATAGCCGCGCCCCGAAGGCCCCTCTTGCCCAGGATCACTCCTGCGCGCAGCCGACGTCTGCGCTCCGGCTCGAGAGAGAGAGGCCGCGCAACGGCTGGGTCGGGGGCTCTGACCGTCAGCTCCGCGGAAGTTGCAGTCGGTTTCGCGGCGCCGGGCCTCAGGGTCGTGCCGCTCGCGGGGTGAGCATGCCGTGCCCCCGCAGCCTCGCAGTCTGCAGTCCTCGGCCGCGGCGCCGCGGGTGCCGGGCGGCCCTGCTCGCACGCCGCGCGCGGACGCCGCACCCGCGAGATCGTGCATCCCGAAGGCCGCGCCTCGGCAGAGTCAGCCCGCAGAGGAAGGGTGAGCGACCTCCCAAGGTTGCCCTCGCGTCCTCCCTTCGGCCCACCCTTGGCCGCTTTCGCTGGCCGCCTCCCCGCTTGCAGAGTGGTGGCATGGCCTCCCGAGGCCCTCGGCATCCTCATCGCGCGTCCTTGTTGTACGGGTTGGCTGTGTCCATCGGCGGCGAGCCCGGGGGAAGTGAGAAGGAGAAGGCCTTCTCAGAAGGCTCCGTCGCCCCGTGGCATTCGGAGAAGTTTTCTGAAGCTTCCCCGGAGGCACAGCCATTTTCTCAGAAGGCGCGAGGGCTGCTGAGGAGTACCGTCGCCTTTTGAGACGGCCTTCTCCGTGTCCTTCCCCCCCCCTCTCTCGCCGCCGCTTGACTGTATCCGTATCGAGACCGCGAGGTCATGGATCCGAATGGTGTGCTTTGTAGGTCGCTCCTCTCTCTCGTGTCCGCCTGTCTCCGCCTCCGCGGGCGTCGGGGCGATTCTCGGGCCCTCCTCTTCCGCCCCAGGGGCCGAGGCCATGAAGCGGCCCAGGGCGCTGGGCCTCCAGGAGGCTCCTCCTCCTCCTCCTCCTCCTCCTCCTCCTCCTCCTCCTCCTCCTCCTCCCCCTCCTCCCCCTTCATTTTCTGCCTTAGAAATAATTTCCCCCTGTCGCACCCCGAGGCCAGTGTTGAAGGCGGGCTGGGCGTTTCGGCTGGGACTTCCTCACCATCTATGGCCCTGAAGCTTAAGCATTGGCAATAATTAGTTTCACAGATGGAAGGCGGGTCGATTTCAATATGTGGCTCTCGCCTCAGCGACGCGCAAATTCGCTTGAAAAGCTTGCAAGAGCTTCGCGGATTGAGGGCGAATGGTTTTTCAACATGCGGTTCTAGCCTTCGCGCCGCGCACAATCCTTTAACAAGTTTGTAAGAGTTTCATTTATTGAGGGCGGTTCCGTTTCAACCTCTGGCTCTCGTCTTAGCGCCGCGCACATTCGTTTTGCAAGAGTTTCATTGATTGAGGGCGGGTGGTTATAAGCATGTGGCTCTCACTTTAGCGCCACGCACATTCGTTTCACAACTTTGAAACCGATCAACGGGTTGAAGGTCAATGGTTTTCAACATGTGGCTCTCGTCTTAGCGCCACGCACATTCGTCTTACATGTCTACAAGAGTTTTACGGATTCACATGAGCAGCGTGCCAGGAATGGTGGTTTGAAAGGGTTCAGGATTATGAGGGCGCAAACATTTAACTTGATTCGTGGTGTTGAAGTCCCAGGAATGGCGTTCTGGCAATCTACAGGATCGTCAAGACGCAACTGTCAGGTTGATCCTTGGCCAGATGGTTGTCTCTCGACAAGGCAGTTCCCTCATTGGGAATGAACCGTTGTATGGGGCTTCTGAAGAGGGAGCTTGGAGGGAGGGCTTATTCGAACATCGTTGATGACTCTTGGGTTTACACTGGTCCTCCTCGTCCTCCTCCTCCTCCTCCTCCTCCTCCTCCTCCTCCTCCTCCTCCTCCTCCCCCTCCCCCTCCTCCTCCTCCTCCTCCTCCTCCTCCTCCTCCTCCTCCTCCTCCCTTTTCCCACCCCCTACCCTCCTCCCTCTCCCCCCCTTCTCCTTATACTCCCCCTCCTCCTCCTCCTCCTCCTCCTCCTCCTCCTCCTCCTCCTCCTCCTCGGTCGGTCGGTCGGTCGGTCGGTCGGTAAAGAGAGAGAGAGAGAGAGAGAGCGGGAAGAGAAAGCGATGTCAGCAGCGGCGGCGGCGCTGGGCGTCGGGCGGCTCCCGCCTGCACCAAGAGCGCAGGTGATGCAGCGAGGGCTGCCCCACAGATCTTAACAATAAAAGGGGGGGTGCTCAGGGCGCAAACCATCGGAATGGGGAAATCAAAGAAAGGTCGGGAAAGAAGAGCCCTCCCCCTGAACAAAACCAACTACTGTTCATAGACGAGCGCCCGCCATCCTGCGGAGCGCATCTGAAGCTTACCACCTTGTAAAGTAGGTGTGCACTGGCGGGGCCGTCGGGCGCAGCACACATTCAGCGACCGGCTCCTTCATTGGAACTTGTTCTAAATGCGTCGAGTTTTTTTTGGTCAGAGGGGTCGGGCTTAGGAAAGGGCAGCATTGCAAGTACAGCCGCGAATGTGAATTCTTCACACACCCCTGGTCATCATACTGGGCATATGTTTCACAGAGTTCATATCAGCACCGCCCGCATATAATGGATCCAATGGGGAGCGTGAAATTGCCTGATACCCCCTCCAGGACTTCCCATCCGTCGTCCGCAGCGCCTATTCCCCATTCGTAACACAACGCCTGCTCAGAAGAGGCAGGTCAACGAGGGAGAACAGCCGGGGTGTCGCCAGGATCGGAGTTACCATCGTTCGGGCAAATGTGGGGGAAGCGGGAGCGAATGTAGTCAGTCATGATCCTCGCGAGGCACCTACAAAGGCCACCAGGGTAAGCCTTGGCCAACGATGACATCCAAAGGCCGTCCTGATCAAGCCTTTGGAGAGATCCGTGCCTGTGCCCCCCTTCACACAGTCCCTTGCCTGGCACGCTGTCGAGCCATTGATGGAGGGCGGGGAGGTGGACAGCAAAGAGCGTGGTCGGCTTGATAGCCAGTCCCCCAAACTGGCATTGGTTTATAACATGGGCCCGAGCGTGTTGCTGCGCAGCAAGCCTCTTGAGGCTTGGGAGGTTCCAGGAGCTAGGAACACCATCCCTCGACGTGCATGGGGCGGGATGCTCCATGAGGGCCCGTATCCCGAAATTCCACGCTAATTGTAAGTAGTTGATGGTGGTGCGCAGCACCTGGTTCCTAAGATCCAGTTGAGAGCGCTCACGGGGGATGAGAAATCCTAAACCCACGTGTGCTCCGTGGAGCGGAGTTGCCTGGGTTGTCTCCGAGACTCTGGAGCATGGATGTAACGTGCAGCTGACCAGCTTTTGCAGGGGGGGCCCGACAACATTGCCGCCACCCTCCCCGACTTCAGCAGAGACATCCACAGAGCAACTGTGCCGGGACCAGCTAGGTCGCCCCAACTCGAGTCACGAGCAGCCTCAGCGCTTGCCACGCGGATGGAAGCGGGACGCACTTTGAGAGCCTCTTCGAGGTGTTTCTGGAAGTCCTCCGTCCTTCTGCAGCCCGAGAACACATATGAGACGTACCCCTCGGTCGTTGAAAGTAGGTATTTTTGGATTCCCAGATTCCAATCTACTTTCAGCGCCTTCCTACTTCAAGAGTCGAGTGGTTTTCCCTCTCCCCCCCTCCTCAGGAGGCGGGGCGGAAACCCGATCTATTTCCATCGCCTTCCTACCTCATGTTTCTACCCACTTCTTCCGACCGCCCCGGGGGTCCCGCCGCCGGAGCCGCGTGGAGGCTCCCTGGCCTTGTTCCGAGAAGAGGCCCGCTCGGCATCGGCCTTGGCCTGCCCTTCTTCTTCTTCGCCCGCGGGTGGAAGGCCCGAGGCAACCCATGCACGGCGGCAGGAGAGGCCCCCTGGCCTTGTTCTGAGAAGAGGCCCGCTCGGCATCGGCCTTGGCCTGCCCTTCTTCTTCTTCGCCCGCGGGTTGAAGGCCCGAGGCAGCCCATGCACGGCGGCAGGAGAGGGCGCTGCGCAGGTGCTTCATCGGCCCGGGGATCTGCTCAGGATCCTGGACTCAGAGCAGGCGGCAGGATCCAGTGGCCAACGCAGAAGGAGGATCAGGCGCCCCACGGGTCTGACTCTGGTGTGTCCTCGGGAGTTTGGCCGAGCTGGCGATCTGGCCACAAGAATAGCACAATAACCCTGACTGGTCATGCACTTGTTGGGGGTCAGGGGGGGTGTCTGTAAGTATGGTCTCGGATAGTCTCTCCCACGTCTCCCCTTTCAACTGGTCACAGTAATAGGGCTTGGCCTTGCGCACGGCTGTCGTTACAGCGTGCTTGAAGGTTTGCGGTGACGTTCTGACCTGCGGGAGCCAGTCCAATATACAGTGTTCGCCTGGGCGTCGGGCGGGATCAGTGAAGAGGCTTAACCATGCAAGGTCTTCTTCGACCATCTAGCCCTGTAGAGTCCAGCATTGGCCGTGGAAAACTTTTGCTGCAAGGCTGAATTGATTCTGGGCCAGATGGCAACCGTCTATAGAAGAGCCGTCATAGAAACCGCGTCCACATATCAAGCCTTCGCCTTGTCACTCGGGGCGGCCCTTTTGGGCGACAACCTTCCTTGTGGGCCTAGCTGCTTCTCAGGCTTTGGCAATCCTGATCGTGAGCTCCAACGCCGTCGTCCACCCGTAATTCAACCAGGCTCCAAAGTTTTTCTGTTCTACAACACCCGGTGGAACAAACTTTCAAACAATGGAGGTCACTTGGGTGAGTCGGCCTTCGGGGTAGCTGGTGGGAATGTTTCGAGCACCCTTGCTCCTCCTCCTCCTCCTCATCCTTTCTCCTCCTCCTCATCCTTTCTCCTCCTCCTCCTCCTTTCTCCTCCTCCTCCTTTCTCCTTTCTCCTCCTCCTTTCTCCTCCTCCTTTCTCCTCCTCCTCCTCCTCCTCCTCCTCCTCCTCCTCGCCGCCCACGGCCGCAATCAAGCCCGGATCTCGGTCGAACGCGCGACCCTGGAGAGCTGACGTGGCCGCCCACGACAGGGCGGCCTGGAACGGCCGGCAGAGGTTCGTTCCGCCCCCCCCCGTCTGGGTCAGGGGCTGCGGCTCGCCGGGGCCTGGGGGGTACTCAATGCACGGGATACCCCCAGGGGGCCACCATCGGCCACGCTGCTGGGATACGATCCGCCTGGCCGGCTGGGGCCCCGCGATGCCGATGCCGATTCGATTCGATTCGATCCACTGTCATCGGCTGGGGCCAGTTGGAGCCAGGGGCAGCGATCCGATTTCGATTCGATTCGAGACGATGTGTTGGTGATCCGATCCGGTTCCGATCCGATCCGATCCGATGTCGCAATTCGATCCAGCTCGGGCTCAGTGCGAGCTGGCTGCGGAACACTTGGAGACAAGTCGTGTCAACAGGGAGGAGGCACACCAGCGCAGACGCCGCAGACGGGCATACTTTATGAGGCTTACATGGGTCTCGAGACTGCTAGTCTAAACTGGGTATGATCTGTGTGAGCACGCATTGACAGGCACGCCGCCGTCCACCACCAGGCAGTCCCAAGGTCCCTGGAAGGACCCCCGAGCGGTCCACCCTTCTCCCCCCCCTCTCATCCCTGCTCCGCTGCCCGTCGCATCCCTTCTCCCCTCCGCCACCCCTGTGTTTCGACCGAGGTAATCGAGTTGAAGGCGAAGCTTGCGTCGATGTCCCGGGAGAAGACGAAGCTCAAGGACCAGTTGACGGAGAAAGACATGCAGTGCAGGTTGGCGCCGCCCACTGCGTGGGTACCACTTGGTCACCAAATGTCACCGTCTTGCCCTGCACAGTATGACACCGCCCTGTTTCCATTTATTCCTGGGAGGTCTGCGCACAGCAGAGCATACAAAGGTTGACGGCTTTGCCCACAACATCCGCTTGTGGTCGTCTTCGCGTGGTCGTGCAACGCACTCGGAAGGAATAACCGCGCTGTCGACTGTACGGTCGCGGCGCGGCAGTTGTTGCAGGCAAGGGGAGGCAAATTTGACCTCCCAGATTTCCACATAATTCTGCCCCAGGACGCAACATTTCGCAGTGAGAGAAGTGCACAGCTGCATAGAAGCATAGGCGCATGCACTTTGCACTGTTCGCGGCTATTGCATGCAGTTTGCCCTGGCCCATTTACAGGACAGGGTCACGCTGATTTTCCGTTCAGCTCCCTCGGGGCTCTTTGGGAGCCGCATGGGGGGTACATTAGGGTCTTCAGCCTTTCCTCCCGACGCCGGGACGTAGGGGAGAAGAAGGAAGAGGAGGAGGAAGAGGAGGATAATCGAGGAGAAGGAGGGACGTGGATGATGTTGATGATGATGATGTTGATGATGATGATGATGATGATGATGATGATGATGATGATGATGATGATGATGCTGATGCTGATGCTGATGATGATGCTGATGCTGATGCTGATGCTGATGATGATGATCATGATGATGATGATGATGATGATGATGATGATGATGATGATGATGATGATGATGACGATGACGATGACGAGGAGGAGGAGGAGGAGGAGGAGGAGGAAGAGGGAGATCGAGGAGGAGGAGGAGGAGGATCGAGGAGGAGGAGGAGGGCCTCTGTCTTCCTCTCGTCTTCTCTGTCCTCCTTGCCCTCATTGGTTGAGAGGCCGTGTCCCTGCCGCTGGCCCCCAGGCCATGCCATCTTGTGGCCATGTGCCATACTAGAACAGCCCTGCGGCCACTGCTGGGGGGCCTCTCGGGGGCATCCTTGGGCATCTGCGGCACTTGCCGCGTCACCTCCGCCGCCCTGAAGACTCTGCGGCACACCTGGAGGGCATGTTGGGGCCATCTCGGGGGTCCTCTCGCCCCATCCTGTGCGATGCGGTTGGTTTCTTTGGACACGTTGGGGACAAAACGTAGGGCAGGCCTACGCAGTAAGTGTTTGACCGAGTAAGGTATACGGCAACATTGCAACAACAAACAGCCATGACGTTCAAGTGTATGCCCTCGCTGCGGCGTCTTCGGGGCCCTCCTGGGCCATCTTGAAGGCATGTTGGTTCCATCTTCGGCCGTCGCGGGCTCGCTGGAGGAGGAGGAGGAGGAGGAGGAGGAGGAGGAGGAGGAAGAGGAGGAGGAGCACGGCCCGGTCTTTGAAGTGCCGGCTCTCGTGCCAGGCGGCTCACGGACGAGCTGGAGCAGGCCAAGAAGCGGGAGCAGGACCGCTCGCGCCAGTCTTTGCTTGTTTAGTAGGTGGGGTCGGAGGGTCGCGCTGCATCGCGGATTCATCGGCGATGCGGCTCGATGCGGGATCCAGATTGTCTCCACGCCGACGGCGCCGATGCATCGTCGATCTCGGCCCGATGCATCGCGAATTCATTTGCGCTGCGGCGCGGTCCTTCGACCCCTTTTGCTCGGACCCTATGTCCCAGACCGCCGACGCCACGATTTGTTCACAACGTCGACCACCAGAGGTCTCGACCCATTCCCCAGGACCGGTTTTTCATCCCGAGTCGTTTGTTGACGGTCCCGAGGCCTGTCAAAGGGCCCCCCCTTGGGAGGCTCTCGATATTTGAGAAGCCGACTGGGGGTATGGATGGCTGCTCACGCCGTGCACCGTGCAGGCGCTGGTGCGGCGCGGGCGTGACTCGGCTCCGGAGCTGTGCAGTGTACTGGGGTCGCCGGAGGAGGCGGCGGGTTTGAGCCCGCGGGGCAGTGGCTCGTGGCGCAGCGCGAGGGCAGGCGGGGGTGGTCCGGCGGCCGCCACTGGATATTGCCGATGCCAGGCGCCCAGACCCCCTCGGGTCATGGAGCAAGCACGGCGGCAGGTGTTTCTCTAGTTTCAAGTCTCTTTTGGCCCTTCCTGGGCCTCGGGACCCTCAGGAAACGACTCGGGACGAAAGGCCGGTCCGGGGGAAGGAAGCATGGCGTCTGGGGGTCTGGGAGCAGAGCTCGTTCTGAGCAATCGGTCTTGCATGCGCCTCCTGGCCCCTGTCGATCTCCGCGCAAAGCGGCACCACCAGATCCCAGACCCAGTGTTGACGCTGGTGCGTCATGTCGCATGGGGCGTGCTACATCTAGTCAGCTCATCCAGCTTGAGGTGTGGCGGTCAGCTGACCAGCAATCCGACCTTCGTGATCCTCTTTCTCTCCTTCTTTGCAGTGCGCAGTGTCGTGCGATGTGTGCCCACATCCCTGCCCTCGCGAACCACAGCTTGTCGGGGCCCTTCCGCCTCCCCCATCCTCCGCGTCCTCCTGCTCTTCTCTGATCTTGCTCCTCCCTCCCCCTCTGCTTCTTCGTTCCTCCCTTCCCTCCCTCTCCTCCTCCTTCTTCTCCTTCTCCTCCCTCTGCTCCCTCTTTCTCCTCCTCTTCCTTCTCCTCCTCCTCCTCCTCCTCCTCCTCCTCCTCCTCCTCCTCCTCCTCCTCCTCCTTCCCTCCGCTCCCTCCCGTCTGCCCCTTCTCCTCCAGGCTTCCTCAGGCGAGGGGAGGAGCCAGAGAAGCGGAGGAGGAGCACGGGGCGGCAGTCGGGGCTCAAGAGACGGGGGTCCATGCAGACGGGGATTCCGTCAGAGCGCCAGGCCTTGCAGGATCCTGCAAGGCCAGGGCCGCAGTGACCCGGGCTTGGGCGCAGGGTGCAGCAGGATCCTGCAGGACCCTGCAGGGCCCTGCGAGGCCCGACCCACCCGGGTCCGCATGGACCCCGGCAGCAGCCAGCAGTTACGGCGGCGGCAGCCGCCGGCGCACGGGTGCCGAGCCGGCGGAGGGTGCGCGGCGCCGCCCCGCCCCCGGCAGGAGCAGCACCCCACGGTGGCCCGCCTGAGGAAGCTGGGGATGAACCCGCCGGCCCTGGCCGACCTCGGTGGGGCGGTGTGCCGGTCGGGGGCCTCGGCATCGCTCGGACGTGTGCAGTTTTTTCTTTCGGCGAGGACCGTCGAGGAGCATCCTTGATCATCTGGCGAAAAAGCCGCGCACGAGACCGACAAAAACACAGGGAATGGACGTCCGAGCGATGGCGAGGGGCAGCGACGAGGGGGGGCCGGCGCGGGGCGGGGCAGCGGCGGCCCCCGATATCGCCCGTGCCTCCCCGCCCCGGGGCTGGGGCCGCGCCACGCCCTGCCCAGGGACTCAGGAGGAAAAGAAACACACAGACACAATTAATCCTCGATTTCCCAGAGAAAGTATAAGAAAATATGGGAAGTGGGGGGGAAGGCAGACACCCAGAAAATACAGGAAAATTTGGGGACAAATTGTATTTGTGTGTATTCATTTGTGTGTCCTGGGGCCCCTTCACCCAGGGACGTGCGGTTGCGCTCGCTGCCGGGGGGCCCTTCGCCGATTTGCCGGCGATGCACGTTGCCGCTGCCAGGTCGGTGCTCCGCCCCCCCCCCCCCCCAAAGACCCCCGACGTCATGGTGTGTTCACATCGTCGCCTCCCTAAGGTCCCCCGCCGATCTGCCGGCGATGCGCTGCCGCTTACAGGTCGGCGCCCCGCCCCCCCCCCAAAGACCCCCCCGACGTCATGGTGTGTTCACATCGTCGCCTCCCCAGACATGATCGCGTCGTAAATAAATCAGGACGGGAGGTTTTTGCATATGTTCGGCCTCGGGGGGCCCTCGCCGGGCCTCGGGACCGTGAAAAAACGACGCAGGACGAGAAACCGGCCCCAGGGAAAGGGCCGGGACTTCCGGGGACGCCGTCTTGAAAAAATCAGGACGTCGCATGTCTGGGTCCCGAAGGTCTCCACCCGTTCCCCGGCACCCAGTGTGCATCCTGCCTCGTTTTTGTGGACGGGCCCGAGGCCCGGCAGGGGCCCGCAGAGGCCGAACACGGCGAGGGTCCCTCCGCCGTGTTTTTGCTTCATGACTGGAGGGGGTCTCTGGGCCTGGAGTCAGAATTCATAGATTAAGTCTCAGTTTCATTGTTGGCGTTCGAATGCTCAGAAGGGGGATTGGTCGGCAATGGGAATGGGATGCAGCTGTCAAAGAGTATTGTAAACAGTCAGTGTGACTGCGATGAGTTCCCCCTCGCTCTGCCCTTTCGCCCCCCCCCCCCCCCCTGCCCCCCCCCGCCCCCCCCCCCCCCATCCCCCCCCCCCCCCCCCCAACACACACACACACACCACACACACACACAAAAAAAAAAAACACACAAACACACAAACACACAAAACACACAAACACACAACACACAAACACACACAACACACAAACACACAAACACACAAACACACAAACACAACACACACAAACACACAACACACAACACACACACAAACACACAAACACACAAACACACACACACAAACACACAAACACACAAACACACAAACACACAAACACACAACACAAACACACAAACACACAAACACACACACACACACACAAACACACACGCACACACACACACACACGCACACCACCCACCCACCCACCCACCCACGCACGCACGCACGCACGCACGCACGCACGCACGCACGCACGCACGCACGCACGCACGCACGCACGCACGCACGCACGCACGCACGCACACACGCACACACACACACACACACTCACACACACACACACACACACACACACACACACACACACACACACACACACACACACACACACACACACACACACACACACACACACACACACACACACACACACACACACACACACACACACACACACACACACACACACACACACACACACACACACTCTTCACTCAAGCCTTGTGGCCCCAGGCGCGCGCGGCCGCCGCGCGCGCGAGGGCCGCCTGCGATGCACGAGCCGCCGCGGGGCGCTCGCGGGGTGGGCCCGCCGCGCCACCACGGCCCGTGGCTTGAGGGGGGCCTCCGGGGAGGCTGCTGAAGCTATCGCAGAACGACGACAACTGCTACCAGCCCGCCATGGGCTGCGGCGGCCCCTGCCAAGGGGCGGACTGGCGCAGCGCTGCCCCGTGGCGCACGCGGCAGCACCAACCACAGAGCGGCTGGCAGCGGCGCACGCCCAGCGAGCCAAGGCAGAGGCAGACCAGCCAGAAGAGGCGTGGGGAGTACATTGTCTGCCCACAATGCCCACCAGGCGAGAGCTGGGTGTACACCAAACGCGCGGGCACCCCAGGATGGGAGGGCTGTAAGACCTGCACCTATAAGTGGCCCAAGCATGCTGACTTCACGTACAAGGACAAGATGGCAGCGGAGCAGGCCCTGGCGACGCGCGGACTGGACGAGGGCAACCTCCGCGCGACGCAGGCGGCTGTCAAGTCCGCCAAAACGTCTGGGGACACCCAGGCAGCCCAAGCAGCCGAGACGCTGGCCAGGCCCCCTGCGCTGGTGCCTGCAACGGCGGAGCCTGCCAGCCCAGAGCCCAGGCTGGGGGGGCGCTTGGAGGCCGCAGTGCTGCGCTGGAGACAGGCCCAGCAAGCTCAGGAGAAGGTCACTGGCCAGCTCGCGCAGCTGGACAAGCGCAGGCAGGAGATGCTGGGTAAACTCGACGAGACCACAGACGAGGTCATCGATGCCAAGATACAGTTTGACGAGCTCCAGAGCGAGGTCAACAAGGCGGGAGGAGGCTCCCCCGCGCCACCGCCCCTGCAGCAGCAGCAGGCAGCCGAGGACCCTTGGGGCGACATGCCCGAGCTATCGGAGCAGGACCTCGAGTTCTTGGATCCCGAGGCCAAGACCAAATATGCCCATGCCGCAGCGCTGGCGCGGCAAGCCAAGGAGGTCTACTGTGCCGCCAAGGACCAGAGCACTACTATCGAGGAGGCCGCCGGCACCCTCAAGGAGATCCAGGCCGAAGTCACCGCCAAAAAGCGCCGCCGTGCGGGAGACGAAGAAGGAGGGGTCGCAGATGAGGCCAATATCGAAGTCAATGAGGAAGCCGCAGGGGCACCCCTCGACCGCGCCAAGTGCGACTTCTCCAATGCCGAAGACGGCAAGAAGTACTTCAACCAGACCACAACCATCAAGGCCAGGCAGCGCGGAGCCAATGCCCAGGAGGCGGCATCCGAAAGGGCAGGACGACAAGGGCGAGCAAGGTGCCTACGCTCATGCTCGCGCTCCTGGGGAACCTGGTGAAGACGGCGGGGGCGGGGGGCGCCCGAAGTCATCCTAGCCAGACTTACTCGGTCAATCACCATCCGCTGGCTGCGCGGTCAGTTGGACCCCAGCCCATGACGGACGGCTTCGGCAACTCCGTCTCCATCGCCACGAAGTTCTTCCGTTGGTGCGAGGACCGCTGTCTGCTGCCCACGTCCGAGCCGAGCGGCAACCATGCGGCCAGCTGGACTATCGAGGGGGCCCAGAACTCTTGCATGGGTAAGAGTTCGAGACCCCTCCATCCAAGGTCGGGCGCCAGCGCGGGCGGCTGGGGCCAGCCTGGCACCACCGTGCACAACAGCAACGCAGCGAGTGCAGCCGCCGCAGCAGCAGGCGCACAGGCTCGAGGAGACGGAGACCGCCAGACAGGTCAGTCCCAGGTGACCGCCAAAGGGTTGAGGCTGCAGGACGCAGGCGGACAGCCTGAGCGTCGAGTCCGTTTCGGCCCCGAGCCAGGACACGCTGAACCAGGTCGACGCCCAGGGCACCAAGAGCGCCAGGCAGCTAAGCAGAATGGCCCTCATCAGCGACCGGACCCAGGCGACCATCCGCAAGAAGCCGATGAACCCGCCAACGCCAGGCACGGCAGAGTTTCATCAGCGGGTAGCTGGGGGCCTCTGATCGACCGCGAGGCCCTGCAAGTATTCTTCGGCAACTGCAGCCAGTATAACGATGCAGCGAAAGCCTTTGTGGAAGGAGCGCAATGCTATGACCTCATTGGTCTCGCGGAACACCACCTTACACGCCCACAGTGCGACGCCGAAGAGCAGAGGCTGCGCAAATACGGGTGGCGCTCCCTGCATTCCTGGACGCCTGCCACCAGCAGCCGCCGTGCAGCCGAGCGACCAGGGCAAGCAGAACGCAGAGAGGGCACGCATGGTGGCACCTGCTGGCTACGCCGCAGCGACCTTATACATTCTGCCACGTGCCTGACAAGACGGGCAAGGGTGCGTTCCATGACCAGCTTAACGATGCCACGGTCACACTCATCCGCCTGCGCCACTGCACCCTTGCGTTCATCAGTTGTTACCTGGACTGCAGCAACGGGCTAGCGGGCAACAGTGGCACAAAGCTGGGCAATATCCTCAGAGTCACCAGGTCGCTTGCGGTGCCGTGGATCATGGTCGGGGACTTCAACTGCGCACCAGAGGAAATGGCTTCGCCCCGCTGGCCGCAGGCGCTCAAGTGCAAGATCCTGGCACCAGACGTAGACCTCACTTGCACCAGCGGCAAGGGCGGGCCGAGTCCTCGATTACCTGATGTACCCCGACTCAGCCAGACCCTTCATCAAATCAGTCGATTCCGTGCGCCAAGTTCCGTGGGGGCCGCACCTCGGGCTGCGCATCCAACTCGCGGCTAGACCTGGCGAAATCCAAGTCCGCAGCCCGCGGCTCCCCAGGAAGTTCGAGATCCCGACCGTGGAGACGCAGATCACCAAAGGAGTCAAGCGGGCACAGCGAGACAGACAGCAGTGCGGAGCGGCAGTCGAGGAAGGACTGGACGATGACGAGCTCGCCAACATCCAGCACTTGTTGAGCGAGACCTACACCAAGAAGCACCCCGCCTTCTGCACCGAGGAAGAGTGGGCCAACGCCAAGGAATACGCCGCCCGATACCAGATGGGGGAGCCCCCGCCCTGGGTCCAGAGCTCCCTGGCATACAGAGCCAGCCCAGCAGGCGCGAACAGATTGGGCGACCGAGACGGACACCGGGCAATGGCGGCGGAGAAGATGTTCGCAGATTTATGCGGGGCCAAGCCACGC